ATTTACCAAGGCAGGCTCTATTTGACATCTTAGTACAAATCATTTTGCAAAATGAATGGTTACACTTTATTGTGATGCTCCCAATTCTACATGTCAACTTATTCAACTAACATGAACACCTAACAGTCTACTAATAGTTGACATGTACAACGTTACTTACAGTCAAGAGAATGCCTAAAGGGGACCATCAAAATAAAGTGTAACCAAAAAAAAAAGCTGTTTAATTCAGAAACAAGTCAACTATCGCACACCGAAACACTCACACATTATATTCAAGCAGTTGAATTCTTTGAAACCGAGTGAAAGACTGGCACCGTGTACAACCATAGGCTTTGGTCAGAACATAGGGAAGGGAGTTGGTCTGTACGTGGTGCGACCTGGTTGCCATGGAAACGCAGAGCGCACACAAACTATTTCAGTTTCTCAACCACAGCTTCCTGTAGCTTGACAAAACCCTTCCCCCTTCTCAAGGCTCAGGCACTTTGCTTTCTTTTTGATTCTGTTCGCCAATGTACAGTCGTGTCACAGAACGTATGCGGAAGGGGGAAGGCTCAAATGTACTCGTGCTTTAGATAAAAATATATCTATAGATATGCTAATTATTTCTATGCAACTCGCTGTATTTACACAAGAGCTTTGACTACATCATTGCAAGTCTAAATAGGTATCGCCATTCATCAATCATCAATGCATTCCTCTCATGCAAGGCCAAGATATACTATTGATATGGTGATTTGCAACCCTAAGATAACCAAGATATATCACTTTTAGCATTCTGAAAAACTTCCTAATATCTTTCCTTAACTTTTAACTGGCGTTTAGACTCGAAGCGTCAGAGCGTCAGTCATTTTCACTTACTTTCTTTGCCGGATGTGGTTTTGCTCGACTTGGTTCACAACTCGAGGTGCGTGCATTTTGAGAGTGGCTGTTTTAGCAGGTCCACCCATTACATGGAACATGACAGCAAGAGAATAATGACTTTAAATGCGCTGCTTTATCTATCTCGTTTTCAGAGGATTCCTTTTAAAAACGTTATCTTTTCATTTTGACTGCCTTGTCAAACAGATAACAGTGATCGTAGGGAAGTCTGCATGAACCTAAATCTCCTGCAAGATGATGTCTGACCTGTTTTTAAAGAGTTATGGAAACCTCCAATCTGCACTACATCCACAAACATGGACTTTTAAAACAATGTATATCAAGTAGATTCAGTAATAATGGCGATACGCATTGGCTTTTAAAACAATTATTAAAGGCCCAATAATCCGCACGTTTAGACTATAAACGTTTAAATAATTCCTGTTAAAACTTTCAAATTCTTTCACCACATTGTAAAAGATGTTTTTCAGTTATACGTGTTTCATCGTTTTGGCTTGTTACAAAAAATAATGCAATTTCGAGTGTGTTTTTAACAATGAAGGCACCACTAGTTAAAAATTATTATTTTTAAAGGCAACAAGTGTATTTTCATTTATCATTTTTGTGTATTGATATTTTGGTAGAATACGTTAAAAACGAAAGGCCATAAAGTTACAGGACATACCATGAAAGTCCTTACTAGTTTTCTCCAGACATACCAGACTTAAGTTGTATGCTAGTTAAAACCAACTATTTTAACTTTAACACCAAAGTTGCGACATGTATCTCCCATTAGTTAAAGTTAAAGAAACATGGTTAAAAAAAACTTGCATCTTGCATACAATTGCATTCAAGAAAAAACTCTTGGTTTTCTGAATAATTGTTGTTTTGTAAAAAAAACAAAAAAACAACTCCCATTTTTTTACTCTTCTGACAAATGAAGCCAAGCAGTCGCCACAACCCAAAATAATGCAGGTGGGTCTTTTGGTCAATGCATTGTGACAAATTTACCGCAGAGTTCAAGCATGCGTCTATATGGCTTTAAACGGAAAAGCCTTTAACGGCCTCATTCATGAGATGCAGGTATGAAGTCAACACTAATTCAATGACAAGAAAATCGAACAAATGTAAGAAAATCGGGTTTTGACGATACAGTGCACTTAATGTGTCAGTTTAATGTAATTTAAGTTGAAATGACTCGAACATTCAAGGTGATTGTACTTAAAGCAGCAACTTTTTTTATTTTTTTTTAAAAAAATTTTTAAAATTGGACAGCTATACGAGTAATTCTAATGCGAGACGCTGAGGAGGAGACAATTATTGAATTGTTACCTCTGTGGTTTCACACGTAATGTACAGTTGATACCTGAAGGAGTTCATTTGACCCGATTTGCCCCTTTGAATGACTTTTTTTGGTGCAAAGGAGACAGGTTGATTTGTTCATATAAATTCTCTTTTTTTCTTTTTATAAATTAGACAGGTCAATTAGATGCTTCCATATTTGTAGGGTGTCTCATATACAGCAAAATTCCATGAATCAGTTTTGCATCATTCATATTACTATTGATTAAAGACATATTTCGCACACAAAGAAAGATAATTCTGTCATCATTTACTCACATGCATGTCATTCTAAATCTGTATTGTTCATTTGTTTGTTAGCAGACCACAAATATGATGTGTTGGATGTTTACAGTATGATGCAAATGACAAAAAAAGCATCATACAGTAAAAGTCCATTTAACATGGGACACACATATATTCCAAGTCTTGAGAGATTTGTATGTGGATTTAATTATTTTAAGACTTCAATTTTGGTCTGTTCCTCACACAAAAACTAATGTATGAATATAGCACTATGAACTACTTTTAAGATGCATTTAGTCATTTTGATGCTTACAGCGATAGTGCACCCAAAAATAAAACAATTATGTCCATCAACTGTTTGGTTACCAACATTCGTTAAAATATTTTCCTTTGTGTTCAGCAGAAGAAAGAAATTCAAAGAGGTTTGGAACATCATAAGAGTTAGTAAATGATGACAGAATTAAAACAAATTTGGGTGAACTATCCCTTTAACAGCCTTTGGTCACCATTAACTTTCACTGTATGGAAAGGTGCAGCATGAACATTCAGCCAAGTATCTTCTTTTGCGTTCCACAGAAGAAAGAAAGTCATACATGTTTGGAACGACATGAGGATGAGTAAATAATGACAGAATTTTCATTTTCAGATGAGCTAACCCTTTAAATAAAACTACAGACAAATAAAGACATCCAAACAAGCCTCAAAAGCAATTTCAAATACTGATTTCATGAATATACCCCTGAGCATTGAGTCTTAGGCCTCAATCTCACATATAGGCCCATCTTTCGATCTCTGGCTTCCTTTTCTATGCGATTTGCATGTACAGTGCAGTCACAAGGATTCTCATCCGGTCTCAACCCACAGCACTTTTATATTTAGTCAAAAGACATTTTAGATGCAGCACGGTAAGACTTCAGTAAGTCTCGCGAGCACCATTTTAGCCGGCAAATTTACGAGGCATAGAAACCGGCTCAAAATGGAACAAGGAAGTGGTCAGAGGCCTGTGCAGCAACGCATCATGTTCAAGAGCATCACGCAACGTGACACCCAAAGGAGAGTCAGATGAACAAATATAATATAATAATATTTTCAATAAAATGTAATTTACTAAGGAACATTCCTATCCTTATAATCTCGATTTTTTATATATATATATATATATTTTTTTTTTATAAGGCTAGGACCCGCATAAAAAAATTAATTTGCTTAGTGAATTACATTTTAATGAAAATATTATAAACAAATATATTATAAAAATGTACATTATTTTTTTAATTCATATTTTCAATAAAGTGTCATTTACTAAGAAAACCTTATTATATTATATGGATAGGAATTTCATATGAATTTATTCATTTACATTAATACAAATATTATTAAATATCTATTATTTACGATTACAAAATGTACATATATTGTATTGTATTATATTATTTTACTAAATGTACAAAAATAGATTACACTTTATTTTAAGGTGTCATTGTCACAGTGTAATTAAACATTTAAGTAGCGAGTAATATTAATTAACTACATGTACTTACTATAAGGTTATGATTAGGATTAGGGTTAGTTGTATGTAATTATGCATAACTTATAGTTATTACAATAGTAACTACATACAAGGTCACTGTAAAATAGTGTTACCCAAAAATACAAGTCTCCGTTGGAAACAAAAAGGGTTCTTCACAAGAACAACCCAAGAGGCTTTACTTTTAAGACAGCAGAACAGAACTCAATAAAATAACAAATAGATTGTCAACAACACCCATCAAAATGTGGCTTATGAAAGCAGGGCTGATTGACTGACAGCTCGGCCTCTGCATCGTTCACATCTAGCAGAACCTCAAGCAAGCTCGAGGGGACACACCCAAAGCAACCTGATCTTTGACAGCTCCTTTACCAGGTAACACAAACTAGAACCCAACACACCTCGCAAGTGTCCCGCCACAGACCCTTCTGAAATCTCACATTTAACATTTTGCAAAGAGCTCTTTTGCAATATTTCGCCTCCACTCTGACGCTTTACAAAGCAACAACTTCTCACTTTGGCAGTCGAAAGAAAATTCCCCTTCTTGGTCAACGATGACAGCGATTCTCGGTACAAAAAATAACACTGCTAATAATTCCAGATAAAAATACTTTAAATAAATTGAGGGCTCAGACAGTAAAATTGTTCGTCCTGCATGTACACACACTAAGATTTCAATCATCTTTGACATCCGTCAAGATTCGAGGACACACTCATTCACCAATTCAGTACTTACACTGATAACTAGTGATGGTAAATAAGATTCAGTAAACTATATTTACTATCCAGAGAGATGTGATATTACACAACACAGAAACTGGACTATGAATGAATCTACACCATTAATTCACAAATTCAGTCACAAAATGCCAAATACAAAATACAGCAGTAAAAATAATAAAAAAGTATTAAAATATATATCAGTTATATATACATATAGTAGCCTACACACACACACCAAAACACAAATTCACCAGTAAAAAATCTATATGTCTATATATAAAAACCTATACAATTTTGTACTTACATAGGACCAAGCATAGGACCAAAACCAAGGGTCCTAGTGCAAAATATCTCGCCATATCCAAGGGTTCAAACGCCTCTTCTAAGACACCATATGTCCTATTTGAAAAAGACACAGATCTGGGTTAACCATTAGACTGCGTAATGGCTTTCTGGTCTCTCTTGCTCTGTTTTCATGTAATCTTACGTGTTCTTATGCGTCTAATCAGTCGGTCCTGTTGCCGGTGAGTGTTCACCTTCAAAAAAAATCCGTAAGCTGTTTTTTTGGGTCTTGAGACAGCAGAGCAGTGCCAGAGACACTCTCCCCTTCAGCTTTGCGTTAAGGCCCTTTCTTAACAGGAAGTTGCATTTTCATCTACGCCACACATCTCTCGCCTTGTACTGTGTCATGTCCTTCAATGGGAAATGAGAGAATTGTCTCATTTTTGCTTTTGCTTTTGACGACCTGCATCCATAGTGAGCAGCATCTTCAAAAGATGTGGATTTTGAATTAAAAACACCTTCTCTTGAATGTATGAACAATTCAAGTAAATGTCATCAATGAAGCAGTAATTGTTACATAGGAGATAAAAAAAGTTCTTTCAGTAAAGATAATAAATTAAATTGGTCACAGTATTAGAGACTTTTTATAAATACTTTATTTTACTCTATATTTACACGCATTTATGTAGGACGAAGACAATAACTAAAGCCCAACATAAGCTAGGAAAGAGAAATCAGCAACATTTCAACAAAGTTTCGATTCCATGACCTTCATCAGACATTTGAAGGTCATGATGTCAAAACCAGGGGGGTAGGGGGGTAGATGAACTTATCTACTTGCCGTCTATCTTAATGCCGTCTTTTTATGAATGAAAGCCAGTATCACTCATATTATATCTACTGATGTCTCGATGAAAATAATTTCCCCCAAAATTTTAAACATTAGGCTTTAAAAAATATAAAAACCTTTAATTTAAGTGAACTTAAAACAATCCTCACTTAAACCCATAATAAATGTCATTTACCTGTACCATACAGAAATCGAATAAGGTTATAAAACAGTCCGCACATACATTTTAAATGAAATATAGATTAATCCTTATCAAAGCTACAAGCGTTCTTTAGTCGAGGGCAGTTAGTAATTTTCTCTGTTCTCTCTGTTCTTTAGGTTAACTTTACTGACAGACAGAATTAATGGCTCCTGTCACTTTAAGATCTGCCGCTGCTGACAGGATCTCATGCATCTCATTCTCTCACTACTATTTACTTCCATTTAAGATTGTATTTAACTCATTTAAGACTGTTCTTGTGAGGATACTCGACAAAACTGACATTTTGGCATAAATGTGTGTGTTATTGTTCGTTCAAGCGCGAAAGAGAACTCGATACTGGCGCGCGTCTTTCTGTGCGTCTCGTGTGTGTGTGTGTGTGTGTGTGTGTCGGTACTGATCCACTTTTGCGACACGACTGAAGCCCCGTTCACACTACACGCGACCAAGCGACGCAATACCATTCATTTCAATGGTGAGCGGGCAACTTCCGGCGAAACGCGCGACAGCGACCGTTGGCGACTAGATGGGGCGTGTCTGGCGACGCGACAAAGTTGAGAAATGTTTAACTTTATGCAAATGAGGAGCGATTTTCACGAGCGACAACCAATAGGAGTGGAGAGCACGTGATCCTTCTCCTCAGCCCCTGGGCCTGCAGTGACGCTGTCTTTTGGATGTCATACTAGTCAACCAGTAGTGGGAACGCCCACTAGCGACCTCATCGCTAGCGACTGGCGACTTGCAGCGACAAAGTCGCGTGTAGTGTGAACGGGGCTTGAAGCGTGGTGTCGCACCCTCTCCACATTTGTAAGTTGATGCGCGTTCCTCAAGTTTACCGCTATGGGCGTGGTTTTGACCCAGCGGCCAGTCTAGAACAAAGGCCCCTCGAGAGACTACTTCTATTGGATAGACGCGTCGCGTTTGACGGATTCATTTGCATAAAGCTGGGCATCGGCCAGCTTTTTGACGCGCAGCATTTTTCCAAATGAAGCGCCGCCTTCCCGGGATGCTTTGCGGGCGCGTTAAAGTCGCGTGACGTCACCCATAGGAATAAAGTGGAGTGCGGCGCGACTGAAGTGTCGCACGGACAAGTGGATCAGTACCGTGTGTGTGTGTGTGTGTGCGTGTGTGCGTGTGTGCGTGTGTGCGTGTGTGTGTGTGTGTGTGTGTGAGTGTGTGTGTGTGTGTGTGTGTGCGTGTGTGCGTGCGTGCGTGCGTGCGTGCGTGCGCACGCGCGTCAGGAGGACATTCACTGAAAGCGCTCTCTTTTGTCTTGTCGCGCATGAGTGGTTTAACACATTTGCGTGAATAAGAGCGTGATCATAACCCTAGCTAAAGGATGACAGAAAGAATGGATGCTGCGTTAATTGCTTAAATATTTTAACACGTTAGCTGGACAAAAATGAATCGCATGCGAAAATAATCATTTTTTCCTCACGCCCGCACGCCGGAGATCCGGCACGGTGCCGGAATACTTTAAGCCAACATTGCTGAATAAATTGACCATTGCAAGTCGGAATGTGTGCAGGGTTTCTTTTAACTAGTTTATATATAAAATGTTTTTTTTTTTTTAGAAAATATTAATAATAATAATATATAAATAATTGTAGGCTATTATTTTTAAATGATAAAAACTTAATAGAATTTAAAAGAAATATGTAAATAAAAATAAAATAAATAAAAACAAATCCTGGCTTCTGATTGGTCATCACTGTGGGGCCGTTTACACTAGGGGTGCAACAGTTCAAACTGCTCACGGTTTAGGTTCACGCTTTCAGTAGTGTTCGGTATGCTATGTTCAGGAAAAAAGGACTGCTGTCAAATAATAAGAACAAATAATTTAACTACAAGCAACAGTACAAATAAAGAAAAAAGAGCAAAGATACAAATAAAATAAAGTTCTTTTCAGGTTTTTCAGGTTGGTCTAACATAAGTTTTCAGGTACAGAAATTGATTTAAGTAATCAAATGTAAAATAACATAAGATATTTGATCAATTAAAGATTAATCCTTATTAAAGTTACAAAAGCCATTTAATCAAGAGCAGTGAGTGATTTCCTTATATTGTGTTGTTTGATTAACATTAAAAACACAGACAGCAGGGATATTAGGTTGCTGTCACTTTAAGACAATGCACGGATCCAAAACACTGATACTGTTACATATGTGTTGTCTTTCTCGGCTGTAGTTCACTTAAGTTCACTTAAGGCATAACAGACTGCTAGGATACTTATCAAGACAGACATGTTGACATAAGTTTTGTGTGAATTTGTCCATTCAAGCACAAGATAAGGTGGCCGAGAAAGCTCAACGCGATGCAACTGAAGAAAACACATGTAAATAGAAGAAAAGGCATTCAAATAAAAAAAACCCCGCATGCAAATACAAAAAAAACGCATGTCAATAGACAAAAACACCGGCAAATTAAAAAAACATCGTCATCAGTTTCACAACACATGTGAGCTCCAAATACTCACAACACCACCCAAATACAGAAACGCGCTGCAAATAACACAGACCACAATGGAAATGTTTCCAGGGGAACCAAATAAGTGACGGACCCGGCTGGGACGTGCTGGTGCTTACAGCTTAAAATTCTACTTTATGTATTTATTTTTGCAAAACATACAGAGATTACATTTTTATGACATACACCTTGTATACAATATACAAAATGTATTAACAATATGTTCAATGTCATCAGAATACAAATGAGAAAAGAACAATGAGCTGAAAACTAAAATAAATAAATAAAAAAGATAGAGAAGAACATGAAGGAAAGATATTTATCTTTCATCAGTTACACTGTACAAATTGTTTCATGTTATGTATAAATTTTCATAAAGAAAAGTTTCATAAGAAATGTTAGGTAATGTAGGGTCCAAAATTTTAAAGTTGAGACACACAGATATATAACGCATATTTTAAAAGCTTTTTTGTAAAGTAAAAATACAAATGTATTTGCAACCGTTATGTTAACAGCATTATATTTCTGTGGTAAGACCAGCTCTTCAGCTGATGGACGCCGTGCTGCGTTGTCATGGGAACATCCCAGGTGAAAATAATGAGGAATTACGTTGTCTTTCGTTGCTCCTTCATCAAGTGCGATCCACACGGCTACATAACGGCACACTAGAGCCCTGCTCACTCCACAGTCCCACTTTAAGGGCTCTGCCGTCTGCCCTTCGAAGGGAGTAGAGCATAGGGAAGCTCACGAGCAATAAGCACGTCCCAGCCGGGTCCGTCACTTATTTGGTTCCCCTGGAAACATTTCCGTTGTGGTCTGTGTTATTTGCAGCTGTAAATATTTCTGTATTTGGTTTCTGTGCGCGTTTCTGTATTTGGAGCACACGCGTGTTGTGAAACTGATGATGATGTTTTTTTCTATTTGCTTGTGTTTTTTTCTATTTGCATGTGTTTTTTTCTATTTGCATGTGTTTGCTTCAGTTTGCTTCAGTTCTCTCGGCCACCGTAACAAGACTTGAAAGAGGACTCAATATTTGTGCGCTGTCTGATGCTGGGTACACACCAAAAGATTTTTTACATCTTATAAGATTTTCAAAATGTGATAGACCACAAACATGAGGACAAAAAATCCTAGATTTAAGCGTTTTGCTCCTATAGTGTGTGGTGTGCCATGATGTGACAAAGACAGCACACCACACACGAACAGATTTTCAACCAGAGTTTTGACTGTGAACAAAGGAAATCTCACAAAATCTCGCGAGACTTCAGAATAAGCTTGGCGGACAATATGCAGGAAGAAATTGCGATGATAGTGTTTGGAATGATTTTCACAGAAAAACATTCGTGCTGTTGCCACAAACCAACAAGCTGATCCTCCATCTCTGCTGTCCACATCAATTTAACTTTTTGCAACGCCATGACTGCGTTTGTTATGCTTCCGTCTTCCATCATCTCGCTTTCTGATTGGATATTGTTTCGTTTCACGTGATAATCTCCAGAGCGTGCGCACGTTTGTCATCGGGGTTCCCCCCACACATCACACTCAAACAAATGATATGTTGGCTTTACTTAACTTTTTTATGTAAACAGGTTCCACCGGTTCCACATAACTATGTTTCGTTAAACAAACATAATATGTTCATGTAACTTCAACATCATGGAATTTGGTCATTTTAAGCGACCCAATTAAACTCTGAGCTAATGAGTTAATTAAGTGAATAACTGAGTGATGATTGAGCATTATTGAAGACACCTGATGTTAACAAGCAGAATCTCTGAAGGAGAAAACCGGAATGTTTAAGTCACCATTATGGAGATAAGTGTGTGTTTTAGTTGGGCTCTTGACCATTAACTTATTAACTT